AAAAAAAAAAAAAAAAAAAAATGGACATTTAGAATAACGATAGCCGGAAAAGCTATTAACCCACTATGCTAGACACACGCTTACGCAATGGCATAACATGCAAACATAACCTAAAACATACGAGAAACAAACCGGTTAAGAGAAAAAGCGGAGATCGTGCGGAAAAGGGTTGAAACAGACATCAATGTTTCATCAGGCAGCAAGATATACGCTTAACCTTGCCACGTCGTATTCGGGAATTGAATTTCCACACGAGTCAGCGATGCATCGTGCAGTTGACGGTGTTCAGGCTACCCACGCGTCAATGAGAACGTCGACGCGGCCTCGCAGACGGAAATTACGAGCAAGGAAATTCTTAGTCCTCGAATCGTGGATATCAGCCAGCTGACGGACGATTTTTATCCGGTTCTAACCGGCTGGCTGTTCTCGCGACCAGACGAAAGGAATTTTACGTCGGCGAATATGTAGGGGGCACCACGGTCGAATCGTTACCGTGACACGGCGAAATTGTATTCCAACGTCGACCTGAATTAACTTCCCCTCAAGTCCCAGTACTTCGTTGGGATAATTGCTCGAGCTATTAAGAAGTCAGCGACAATTACGTCGATCCAAGCGGTACTGCAAACCCGAGCAAGCTCTGTCCCGGACGCCTAACGTTGCATTAGCATAATTAAATCGTGAGCACCGTGATTGGCCATTGTAAAACCGTCCTTCTTTCTTTTTCTCCTTCTTTTTCTTCCAACGAGCTCGTTACAGCCGATATATATAACTCGGTGTACAGTTAAACCGTAAGCCCTGTCGCGCATGTGGCCATGAACGGTGTGTTCAAGGTTGAAGGAACGTCGAGGATATTAGAGCATCCGCGACGTTACAATTTTGCTAGTCGAAGGTAATGGTTGCGGGTAATTGCGTGGTTGTGAAGTTTAATGGTTACTGTTAAGCGAGGGTACTCTATGATTTTCTTTTGTTTTCTGTATTTTTAATGGAATATAGATCTCTGGAGTGACGAGGTGGTTGAAGGTTTATTCTGAATACAGGGAACCAGTGTGTAGTGTTGTTTGGAGGAATTTGTTATTCGTTGATTGGAATAGAGAGTAGTTTCAATGAGATGTAATTTAAAATTTTTAGGAATTGAATTGGGACAGTAGTATGAGAATTTGGATAGAGGTATTTTCTGATGATAGAAGGCTTGTGTTACTTTGTAATAATTATTTTATCACTGATATCATTAATATTATAATTCTTTGAACTGATCTTTTGGTACAATGATTATTTTATATTTCAAAGAAAATTATGTATTAGTGTATCACTAATTTTACATTTAGTTAATCTTTCCTTATATTTATCAACTTTTAATTCAAATAGAATAATATAATATCATTAATATCATCCTCAGTTAACTTTTCCTTACAGTAGCTATTTTATATTTTAAAAAGAATAATATATCACTATGTAACATACAATATTACTAATATTAATAGTAAAGTAATAATAAAGATGATCTGACTTTACATTGATGGTCTTAAATATCAAAAAGAATAATATACCACTATGTCACACACATCATTAATATCACCTCAAGTTGATTTTCTCTTACAGTAATTACTTTACATCCTTCTTTTTTTGCAACAGTTATTCTAAATTTCAAGGAGAATAATATATTACTATCTTAAATTTTCCTTACAATAAAAATATTTCTAAAATTAACAGAAAATGTACAACGTTATTCTATCCATTTTCACATTTCATGCTCTTTCAGCAAATAACCTCACCAATCCTTTCCTACCTTAATCTACTACCTCTTCTTCCAATTCTAATATCCAAACTGCCAATATCCATCTAGCAACGCCAGAAACGTATCGGCTGACGTATCTACAACCAGCAAAACCCTGATTTACAAGCCCTTCGGCTTAAGTTTACTTTCGAACCACGCCACGCCGATTTCCCAATGAATAAAAGGTCACGAAACCTTTTCCACCCCGCAAAATGTATAACGGTCGCTTTAGAATCGCAGGAGCTTTCTTCTCGAAGCTCGTATAAAGTCGTGATTCCCGGCACGTATCCCTTCGGAGAGTTCGCGTCGAGCTTGTAAAGTCCTAATGACGACAGTCGACTATCAAAGGGGAAGAAGAGGAAAAAGAATCCGATTCAGGGGAGAGGGTGGACGCCGAACGAGTTTCGCATAATTTCTCAACAATGTGTCATTCATGGGAATAAGATTTTTAGCGACAGGAAATTTCAATATCTTCTCTCAACGGGTCATATTCCACGGGGAGTAACGCAGAATCGGGATTGAAGTTAGAACTTGGCTCGCGATCTTTTTTCTAAAGTATAATGCTTCCAGCATAGTACTTGCTATGGGAATATGAGAGAAAATGGAGATGTTTGCAAACTCCCTCTTGAAAGCGTGTACCCCTACTACTGCAGCATCGAGTTTCTTCCGGTTTTCTACTTGGTTAGGTGCATATGAAATGTCCATGCTCTTTCTTTTTCATTTTCCCTTGTGAGACTTTGATCGTGCAGGGATTCCATAGAACGTTGTGCATCTGATCGAACTTGCTGCGAACTGATTTCGTGTACTTTCTCCAACCAATATGCGATCTTTACTCCTTTGACAAGTGTTATTGGGATCCTAGAAAAATTTGTCGAATTTTGAAAAATTTCTCAAATATTGATTTTTATCTAAAACGATTGAATCTGTACATACTATTCAACTACTACCTAATTTCATTGTTTCGTGTCCATAGGAGCTATGAGTATTTTCAAAAAATTCTTTCTAACTTCTGGCAGATCTCCTGAACGTTGCTCCTTACAGATATTTTAATTTAAAATAGTCGATTCGATGATAAAATGGTCCTAGAAAATAAAAATTCATAAATGAAAATGCAAAGATATATTTTATAAAAATATAAAAATTTGATATTTTTTGTGTAAAGAAAAGTGATCAAAAAAATACCATTTACATTTTTCGAAACACGGAATAAGGAATGTAAACAAAAATGAAATGTAAATTTGTATGAAAATACGACGTGGAATATTTATTTTTCGTGGTGTATAAATCAACTTATTTGATATTTAAATATTTGAAAAGAACTAATAAATCGAATGTTAATACCAAATAAATAATAATTTAAAAAATATATATACCATCGAATTTGCCACTGATAAATGTTTTTAAATCCCATCTGTTTTATCCTTGTGCACGTGCGATGTAGACTGTATTGAAATTGAAGTATTAACTGAACAGTTATGTAACTTCCCTTTTACCTCCATTGCGCGAAGCCTCCTTTATACCACTTCCTTCTAATTATATCCTTTCTTCGTGAAACTAGGGCAAAAAGATTTAGATTCGTCATAATTTCAACTACCCCTATAATTTTTCATAATCGAGAAAAAAACTCCTTTCCTAATTCGTTTTTCATTCTTCATAATTTTATACATTCGTTCGATTAAATTCGAATAAATTTCCAGATTCAGATTGAAATCCCCCGAGGAAAGTTGCAGAATTAAAGTCACTATATTTAATAACGGGGGAAAGGTCAATGGGCTTTGTATAGAACTCTAATGAAGCAATCAAGGTCATCGTTTCGTTCATTTCTTGCAATCACTTTCAATTGTGCTCTGCATTTCGGCCACGAAGGCTTGCCTTTGTAAATATACGTCTTCATTGCGTATCCAAGATTATACATATGTATGCGCGAGGCCCCCCTCTCTAAAACCGACGAAGAACGCCGGGGTTGGCATTAAAATGTTGGCAAAAGCAGCTGAAGACCTTTTGTCCAAAATCGCATTTTTTCTGCACCATTTATACGATACCATAACGCTTTGTACCTCTTTTTCACGTAAAGAAAAGGTTAGCTATCAAAAATTACGAAAGAAGTTACATAACCTCAAATGTCGACGTCCGAATTAATATAGATTTTCTCTATACTTGATTCTCTATTACTACATCGATTGATCTCAGAATGAAATATTTTATTCTATTTTCTTATCACTTTGCTTGTATTAATAGTTAATATATCATAAAAATAACGATTCTTTCATAATAATTTATTAAAATGAAAAATTGTAATAAATTATATAGTTCTCTTGCTTGTCACGAGTAAATAAAATTCTAATTTTGGAAAATTAAATGTAGACGTAATATGTGTGACTAATTAAGAATAATATAACAATTTTGTATATGACACGGTAGCAAACAACATATTTTTGCCTTTTTGTTTTAATAAAAGAATATTTTGTAAAAGTCAATTGCAATTCCACCTGTTTCAAAAAGACTCGTCAGTTAATTTGCACTGTACTGACCCCTTTGCAACGATATTGATAACCTGCAAACTGTTATTTAGTTTCGTTACTACTAATAAAAAAATCGACAAGGTAGAACTGGCACATAAACGAATTCACAAACGTTTACGATCTTTTTCTTTTCCCAACAAAACTTTCGATTTGGAAAAGTTCGCTGCAGAAGCGAGCAGTTGCCGGTCAATCGTATCGAAAAATTTCCAGAGTTAGTAAAAGGTTAACTTTTAATTTACTGGGTGAAAATCGACTCTAATTGCAGCTGTTTCTACAGAAGCGTTATTTCATTTGCTTTCAACTTTTAATACGTTAACTGACATTCGACTCTCCTACATCTCTAAAAGCGAAGAAAAATTCGATTAAAAATTCCACGATCCGTTCATAACATAACCTAATCAACGAACGATTCGAGCACGACGTACGTGCATATAAAACTAACTCTCCGTTTACAAATCAGAATCCGTTTACTGCTTTCCTAACCAAACTCAAGAGACACTTTATCCATCAGAAAATAGGTACGACAATTACTTTCCTATACGAAAAGTCGCGAATTACATTTTCGGAAGATAAAAGAAAATCCGGGCGAAAATACAGGGGAAAAGCATTGGCGAGCATGAACGGTTCGATCAAATGCCATCGATTACATAAAAAAAGGATATACGAAGGGACATGACACGGTCGACGTAGTAAAAGAGGGAGAAGGAACGTTTTCGGTTCCCTCTCGGGAATTCGAGCGGAAGATCTCGTTAGGTAGGTTTCGCCCGTCCCTGCCGGCGGAGTTTCGCGAATGAAACGAAATGGCGCAAATTTTCGCGAGAGTGCACGTACCGTAGGAGGGTCTCTGGTAAACTGGCCGGCCAAGTACCACGCACTGGATACATCGTAGTCTGGCTTGAAAATGACAATACACGTCCCCCTTTCGGTTTAATTAAAGGCGTGCTTCGCCGAAATGCAGCTATTCCTGCACGCTTCGACCCATTCCCCCTCTCCTCTGCCACGCCGTATCCTTCTATTCGTTTCACGGCCATGCTACGGCACACGTCTCTATACGACCACGCGAAACGTACGTTGCTTAATGGAGCGCCGCGTCTGCCACCCTGTAATGGCACGACACTTTGCACTTGCACCACTGGGACGCTAAATAGCGCTATCGTCGAGGGTAGAGGTCTGCTAGCCAAATAGCTAGGTTGGTATTGGTGGTTAAAGGGAAGGACTGACCTGTCAGACGAATATCAAGTTAACCGACTGTGTATTGGTATATCTATGGTCGAGTGTTATGAGCACTCTGTCTTACGCCGCGTCCAGAAACAACAGATCGAACTAGCCTAACCTAATTGACAGATGGTTCCTTTCTCTGCACGATTGATCGCGCGTCATGTGTTTTCGATGGTACAAGGTCCATTCGCACGACACTGTTTACACATTTCGCGCGACGTCGATCGTGCATCGGAATGGAGGTTATACATTGGAACGTGGAAAAATTCGACCGGAGATGTAAGAAGAGCGGCTGTACTAATTTAGAATGAAAAATTTCTTCCGACGTCGTAGTTATTTAATTAATTTTAACGAAGCGGACGTTATTTAATTTCGTAACGGAGAAAGATTAAATTAAATGCCGCTGGTTAAATTAAGTATTTGAAGTGTTCCAGGGCTGAGCGGTGAAAAATGTGGACCAAGTGGCCGAGCGAATGTATTCGCTCTTTTCTTGTTGCGAGAATAACACGCGTGCAAGGAGAGAAATATTACATAGGGAAATCAATTATTAACCGACATTTAGGTAATGTAATGGAATTAATTATACGTCTAGAATTTCCCCTTTCGAACCTACTTTTAAACATCGTTCGTTTCGACGCGAATTTGTCCCTTTTTTAAGATCAAGCCGATTACGAAATAGCGAATTTTTCCAAATTATTCCAGCAATGATATAAAACTTTAATTAATTTAAAAGGATTTCTTCGTGCAGTAGGACGAAAGCCTACGAAACCTGGCAAGATCGTGGCATATAAGAGTGAAATGTAAGAGACCAGAGGAGAAAGTGAAAGAATGAGAGAATGCGGAGAGTAAGGCAAGGAAGCAGCCGAAGACCGAGAGGTAAAGAGAGAGGGCACGAACCACTTGGCTCCATTCAAAGGGGGGAATCACTGCCGCCGAGTCTGTGGGATACGGTGATGAGGTTATTCCGTCCTCCTTCCCTCAGGAAATGACGTCACATCTCGACGTAATAAACACAAATATAAGTGGTTCCTGTGCTGTGTTCCGACGGCAAAATAACGTAGGCCGACATGATCGAATCGCGTACGTCGGAAGAGGAAATTTGGAGAGGGTGTCGGCGCGCTCTTGGTGCTTCCACGAATAAATTAGCGACGACGTTTGCCTTCCAGCGCCTTCCCTACAAAGCCATAACGACGACCGATCGATGTCGCCTCCTCGCATTTCGATTGACAAGGACATCGTGTGTTTACGTTGCCGACACGTAAAACGATTATCCTCGAGTTTATGTTCCCCGATGTCTAGAATTCCACTACTTTCCAGTCGAAATTAACTCGCAAAGCACGAACAGCGTCGCAACGAAGTAACGCTATTAATAACACGCGTATCATAATTGAAATTACCCCGATCGCTAGTCATAAATATCAATTTACACTAGACGAGTTGCCTGACGCGTATTGGTTACTTAAACTGTACTTCATCAATTTCTGTCTTATTATCGGATATAAGCGAGATTTAATAGTAGATACGGTACATTCTCCCTGTTACCCGAATATCACCCGTTCGAGCGTTCTGTAATACTGGCCAAACGTTGACCAAAATCGCCTACTGATTTATGACTTGCATCACGATTATTCGGGGCGAGTAAATAACAGACGCGACGACGCTTTCGGCCCTGATGACGATCCCATGAACATCGCAACTGCTGGCCAATCGGTCGATTTAATCGCTGGCACTCTCGGAATGTCATTGTCACCGATTGGATTTTACGATGAAAGATATTGAATTTATTATATAACTTATAGCAACTGTCGCAACTTGTTTCCATTAAATTTTGTCAGTATGTTCTTTTCCCATGCATGTACAATAAAGAGTAACAAAAATTGCAAAAATATAGATCTTTCCAACCTTGATTTAATAAAATATAACCTAAAAATGTAACGCAAGAAATAAATTGTACTATAATATATTATAAAGAAATGAATTACTATATTCCCAATGTTTAACCTCAAAATCACACCTCAAGACACTACCAAAAAGAAAAAGAAACGCATGCTGAAATGAACCAAGGGAGAATTAATTAGCCTTAAAATGGTAAGATATTAAAGAAATAATATCGAATTACTTGAAATAATACAATTTTGGCAACTCTCTCAAAAATATACATTTATCATTCACGTGAAATTCATAAATAATTTTACAGTTTGAATACAAATTTGGAAACGTGTCAATTAACTCGATAACAAAATCAACGAGAATCGTGGAGAGGATTAAATATGTACATGCAATTGGACGATACTCGGGGAGCAAACGGGAATCGGAATTTCTCCCAGAAGAGGATTAATACGAGCATTCGTTTCTCGGGTTTCGCGGGAACGCGATAAGTGACCAGCACATGCTCGACGATAATTTTCATCGCGAGCTCGTAGAAACTCGTTCACGGCGCAGCTTCTTGGACCGCGAGACATCTTGAGAATCGTAGCCCGATTTCACGCGAGAACAATGCCGGGGCCACTTTCTTCCACTCGGTCTCTCTTTCTCTATTAAGTCGGCTCCGTGAAAACGCAGACTAATTTCTCGTCTCGCCCCGCCACGACGTTTCTGAAGAGTCCACGGCGGAGTGGCCCGCAACGGAGGGTTACGAGTCAGAAGGCTGAAGAGGCATCCGTACAAAGAGCAGAGGAGTGTGCAACAATTATAAACACCGTGGCAATTACGGTGGCCTGGGTGCGTGCTGTACTTTCTTCCAGGCCTTTCCTGCCCTCTTCCCTCCTTTCACGTGAATTGCGCCAGCCACGGAAGAAACCCGTGCCTCTTCACCGTTACCACCGCCACCACCGGATGAACCACCCCAGCTGCTTTCACTGTACCACCTTTTACTCGCTTGTAATTGAGCTGGAATCATACAACGATGAGAAGGAACTCGGGTAGAACTGAGTGGCTACTCGGACGCGTCACGTGTGGGATCTCGAGATGCTTACCATTCCGTATTGCCAGCTGCTACGATTTTCAGCAATGGCGTGCCGAAAATGCCACCATGCCTATACGTGAAACGATGTCGTACCTGTAATCATAATGAACGTTGCTAATTACACGTACCCACTGCGTGGATAAATTTGCGCAATGATATGGAAGGAAATATTAGCCGTTTCACAAATATGTATGTCAAAAAGGCAAGAATGCAGGTTATAAACTACACGTATCTCTCGTACGTTTCACGGTTGAACAATTTAGCAGAAATATTACCTGCGACTTTTTAACGATAATCGTGTTTGTATTTGCTTTTTAATATCTTGGGCGTGAGGTTTATTTGTTTTATTTAGTTTTATTGGAAATGTATATATCGCGAAATTTTTATGGCCTGAAAATAAATAAAGATTACGCGTGAAATATAGATTGTGATAGGTTGCCAAAATCGTACCATTTCCGAAATCAAAATGGTTGTGTTCTAAATATGTTTTAACTTATAATTAACGAAACTGATTGATTAGATAATTTGATTACGTTTATATTTTTTCTCTAGATAAATCGTTCTAACAATCGTTCGAACAAAATGGAATCACTGGTGAAATTTAATATCTGCGCTAGTTTAAATGTACAAAGTAATTAAAAAAAATCTTTTTAAGAGATGAACTACTTACTTCGAATCGCTTTAAAATAAAAATTGAAGAAAAACAAATTTTGTTTAAATTCAAAAAGTCTGATATTAAAAAACCTTAAGAAAGAATATTTCAAAATCTATTTGCATATGTTATATGTAATATAATTGATTGTATTTTATAAATACGATAATACAATTAATAATATCATGAGTCATCTGATTTTGGAAATATCTCGTACGATTTACGAAATCGGTTACAAAAATGACACGATTCTCATAATTTTATATTATCATGAAAACGCAAAAACTATGTGGAAGAAAACATTTCCAAAAAATGTTACAACATAGAAATAAATAAAAGAATAAAGGTTTTAACGTTATCATATAATTTAAAGGTCTCGTATGAAGTTTCATGGGAAGCGGCACAATCTGGTAACTTTTCTGTATATAATAAATAAAACTGCAAGTTTACAAACACTTTTATACTTCTTTTATGATTTCTAATGATCCAATGCACGATAGAACTGATACTATTATAGCACTGATATTATTAATATTACTAATAAATTTTACAAATGTTACAGGTTAACCTAACCTCAATAATTTCTCTGAAATCAGCTACTAATATTCCAAAACGAGAAAAGTTTCCGAATAAATTTCTATAATTTACAATAATTTACAATAAAAATATTAAATTGTATAAATCGTAATTTATAAATAAAAATCACATTCATTATGCAAAAGCATTTTTAGAATGTACTAATAATATCACTAATTAAACTCGTAATTGTAAAATTCCAATCACTTTTTAAACAGCAGACCTGTACGATTTATAATATAACCTATAACCTGTCAATTCACTAATATCTCTGATCATTATATTACTCACGTGAGGTCGACCATGCTATTTGATAACCTTACAAGCAACAATTTTCTTCCTATAAGAATACGAGAATAATCGTAATAAAAGATTTATCGTTTAGCCACATTTTATATTAACTTCAACGATTAGATAGCTTATTTTACGTACATACATATGTATCACGTTTCGCCTGCAAGGAACGGTGAATACACGTGTAC